TGTCACCTTGGTCCTTTTTAGCCGCTTCCGCCTCAACTGAGAGGAAGTGGCAAGGCTGAGCGCACCTGAAGGACATCCCTTTGGAGACAACTTCCTCTTGTCTGTGCGCGGCCTTTTTTTTTTTTTTTTTTTTTTTGTTATTCTAAAATCTTCGGATGCAATCCCAACGTGACCCTCATGTGTAAGCTTGTTGTGGGTCTCAAACAGGTACCTCTCACCCCATAGTAGATTGCGATCAAGACCACTTCCGGAGTGTCATACCGAAGCGCTTCCATCCGTTATCCGACAGGTCATTACGAAGATGATGTCATGCTAAGTCAGGTGAGCCTCAAGCATTTCGCATTTGCATTGTTCAGTCACAGAAATGGATCCCTTAACCCGGTGAAACCGCCACAATGTGTCAAAAACGAAAATCCAGAGTGAAAAATGCGAAAAGTCCACCCTGCTCTCAGTCTTCATTAAAACTGGCATAAATGTCTCATGCACTCACACCCACATGGCCTCCCACAAGGCCACAGCATTCCCCTGGGCAGAACACTGAGGGCCTTTTGTGTGTGTGTGTTTGTGTATGTGTGTGTCCTCAGTGTGGACACAACAAAACATTGATGAAAGATTAAGAAAAATGTGTGGTGTTTCCAATCGTAATGAGTGAAGAACTTCTTTTACTGGTCGTCCATGTACATTGCGGTCTTTGCAAAAGAACGGCGACAAGGCACCGGTCTGTTTTGTTTTCTCTTGACAAGTCACGATCCTGAGTGAGTTTTGAGGACAATAGAACAAAACAAGCAAAAAAAACCCAACAAAAAAGTCGTATATATGGCAAATAATAACTGATAGATTTGGTTAGTTATTTATGGGCTATTATTTCAAAGTCAACTGGAATAGAAAATTGAGATGCAGTTCATAGAAGAAAAAGAAAAAACGAACCTCTGATGGAGCGTAACTTTCAAACCATCAGATGCAAACAAAATAAAAAGAAAAAAAAGACAATTTAAGGACTGAAGTGTTGTCCAAATCTTTATCTGAGGGGGTTAACATTTAAAAATAATATGAAAAAAAACCCAATTGAATCCGCATGTTATCCGAGTCAGTGGAAAAAAAATTTTTTTGGTTTACTTCCACAAGCACGAGTCTGTCTGCGCTTAAATATCACTACAAACCTCCCCTTTTTTACATTTTACTCAAACAAGACTTCCTATATGACATTCAAGTGTAATTTATCAAGTGTAATTGAGCACCACTGGGGATTTTTGTTTTGTTTTGGTTTTTTTTTTTGCTTAAAAACTACAAATTAAATTTTCTCACCCATGTACTCGATGAAGTGCTTTGTACTCGAATCTACCACTGCCTTCTTCAGCAATAAAATGAAAATGTTGTCAATTTGTTCATTTACACTTTTACTCCCTCAAAAAAGTTTTTAAAAAAATGCTACAATTAGGCTATAATACCTTCAAAAAAAAAAAAAGACCAGTCCAAAAGTGAATAAAGTCAAAGCGGATGAGGAAAAGGAGCCTTTCTGCCATTTGCAATAAGCTGGAAGAGACATTCAGCGACCAAAAAGAAAGAAAACAAAATCTCATGTTTTGCTTCGCCTTTGCGGCCTGGACTTCTGCGGAAAAGAAGCGCTGAGACATGATCTTTTCACATCCCTCACCAAAGACAATGAGCTCACTCATTCCCACTCACCAAGCAGCCCCCCCCCCTCCCCTGGCCCCCCATGTCCAATATAAACCGACTCAAGTCTTAAGAATGCACAATCTCTGCTCAACTAAACAAATGGCGTGATAAAACGCTGATGCCTACTAAATTTGATGCAGACTTTCATTTGTCGGGTTGTTTGTAGTCGTTCGATCAATACTGATTATCATGACAAGACAGGACAATCCAATGTGCCTCTGCGATAAAAGAGAAACACAGTTTGATGACCGCCTCCATCCCCAAAGGCAGGATGAGTCACATCGTCGCGACTAAGTGGAGCTATAAAGCCGCATCCGCCGCAGGTGCCATTTTATTTTAGACGTCTTGTCAGTGAAGTGAAGGCAGAAACGAGCTACGGCATTCCTAGTGGCTCTCTATAAACGCAGCCCCCCCTCACCACCGTGGCCTAAGCTAGCATAAACAACCATACAACAAAGCCGGTGCTAGCATGTTCCAACTCGTTTAAAAATCCACACGAGACCGGTGGGAGGTCGTTGGCTGACTTTAATAGGGAAATCCAACTGGGGACTGTGCGTAACAGTTACTCTCCCTTCCAAAAGTATTGGAACAGTGAGCTCAAATTCCTTATTTTTGGTGGTACACTGAAAACGTGACAACAAGTATTATTATGAGGTATGATTTTCATGTGTTTGGCTCTGGCTGTGTATCTATAAAAGGCAAAAAATTTTTTGGACAGTATCGCAACATGTGGCCAACGTATGTTTTATTGCCCAGGTGTGTTCTATTACATGAACGATTCACTGACCCAACATATAACAATGGATGGTTATGCTTAAATCCAGATTACAATGTTGAAAGCGAGAAAGCTGTCGACAGTATATTGTATGTGACAGATAAGCAATGCTGCGCGAAGATGAAAAATCAATCGGAGCCATTGCAAAAACATTGGCCATCGGCAATAAAAAAAAACAAAAAAAAAAAAACCCCCCAAAAAAAAACACCCTGTGAAAAAGGCTTTGAAGCTCCGCGATTTCTTCAGCCCCGGTCATGCTAGCTTTCACTGCTGCTTTGTTTTTGATTGGTGGATTCGTGAGCACATTTTGCTGCAATCACAGTTTGCCTTTTAATTCTTTGATCTCCCCACTTGACGGGTTATTTTGGCCTACTCCGGTTTTGGTGTCAAAATAACAATTGTTTTTCTTTTTTTTCCCTTAAAAAGATATATTCACTTTCCTATCTTTCTTCAAACTATTGGAAATGGAGTTTAGAGTTTATGTTTGCTTTCGAATTATTTTAAGCCAATCCGTTTTTTTTTTTTTTTTTTTTTTTATAAGCTCTTGTGTGCCACATAAAATGATGCCTGCAATTTGGCATGCAGGCTTTGAGTTTACAGCAAAGCTAATGGAATTGGCCTCATTGTTGTGTCATGTATTTGAACGTACCACAACATTAACTGTGCTATTTTAACACGTGTGTATACATTTTATTCAAAACTAAAAGTTGCCTCTAAAAAATTTAGTGTACAAAAAATGGACATAAAGTCAGTGAGAAAAAATATATATTATAAGAAACACGGATTTTCCGATTTATCTTGTCAGGAGCAAATTAGTCATTCTACAATTGGTCTTGCCTCACTTAATGCGTCTCTTTGCTTTGCTCCACAATCTTTCGCCTTCCTTTGCAAAAGTTGTGTCCTGCAGTGGACCCTCTAGGATCAAACACAATCCATTCTGGGAACATGTTTGAAACAGATATTCCCCTTATTATTATGATTATTATTATAATT